AACCCGCTCGGTTTGGTTCGGTTCCAGTTCGATTCAATTCGGTTCGGACATTTTGCCCAGCCCTAGTGTTGGTGGTGGTCACCATTATTTGGTCGATTTGACCATTAAATTGGTTAATTTGTGACCAATAAACAATGTGTGACAAATGGAAAAGATAAATTGTGACCATGAAATTATATGTGACCTAAAAAATTATTAATTTGTGGTCGATAATTTAATAATTTGTGACTGACTAATAAGTTGTGACTCATAATATTTGTGATTTGTGAACTGTGACCTATTAATTTTTTGATTTCTGACTTATGCAAATTTTAATCTGTGACCGTAAAATAATTTGTGATCTATAATTTTCTGATTGGTGATCGAAAAATAATCCGTGACCAATTAATTTGATAAAATGTGACAAATAAATAAGTTGTGACCCATAAGTATGTATACGTGACCATGAATTATATAATTGTGGTTTTGATATATTTAATTAATTAATAAATACACGATTTTTGCAATTTTTAAACTTAATGCCAGAAAATTGATTTGGCAATCGTTAAAACCTAATCTATGAATTCTTCCCCTTAAAAAAAAACAACCGAGCCCGAACCCGGTCTATAAATAGTTCTAAACTCCATCTTATTTGTGTCTCAAATCGGAGCAATATTCGCTAAAAAATAATAAAATTAAGCATTCATCTTTCTTCATCTCGTTTCTTTGTCATGGTTCTTAATTCTTCTGCAAATTTCGATTCTGTAATAGGCAAAGAGTTAAACAACGTTTAGGGTAAGTATGAATCTAATCTAATTGTAGAAATTAATTACTAAGTAAATTATAGACTGTTTTTGTTGGAAATTTGAAATGTATATAGTTTCGATAAAGGTATTGCATTACTTATTTGTTTATTGGTTTAGAATAATTAAAATAATATTAAGAATAAGATAGCACACCAAGGCATCTCCTGTACACATCTAGACTCGTAAGATTTAAGACTTGAATTATAAGCATCAAGTCTTTTAGAACCTTGAGAAAATAGCTTCAGAAGTGAAGTTTTTCTTATTTCGTTGGTAAAAATTATACCTTACAGAATTTGTTGAACAAAATATATGAAAATTATTCTTTAATTTAATGAAATTAGAGACGAAGTGGTTGCTGATGCACGCTATCACTGGTATCATATATGAAAAATCTATTATCAATTATGCATCAATAATGTCGTTATTTGTTAAAATCAGCGACGAA